TATATATATATATATCTGGAAGCAATCGCCAAGTAATTTTCTGTTTTGGTGTTACACCTTGTTAGTTCTTGCATGAGTTCCCAATCCGAGGGGAGTGATCTGAGCTATATTGTTTTCCCGAATACATCCTCTCAGCCTCTCAGGTTCGAGAAGGGGACACAGATATCCCGCTTTCTAAGTTACCTATGCGTGTCTAGTGGGGAGTTATACTCTAAAAATAATATTTTACCTACAACAGTCTAGATCGTTTCCTTTTCAATTTTTACTCAATGGCCATTTTCGTATAAGATGGAAAACCCCCCCACCGATTTTCACTGCTTGCGGCAAGTTTCTAAGAGCACTTTTTAAAAAACCTTCAAGATTGAGTACAGTTTCGAGTTCGTCCCAATAACTGGCCACCAAAACAAATTGCTACCTTAGAATTTCATAGCTCTATCTGCTCAGTTCCTAGTTTAGAGAAATTTGACATTAAAAACTTTGAGTTTTACAATATGGTTACGTTTTTCGAAATCCACTCCTTGAACATCTTAACAACCACTCCAAATAATCTCACGATTTTAAAAGATCAGACAGAACATTTGGTTGCTGACCTCAAGGCCTTAGTAACTCAAAACGGGCAAAAAATGTCAGATACAACTTTGTATTTCTAAGGTAGCCAAGTAAGTGGAAATGTCAGAAAACTTTAGACATTTCTCTCCCCTGACAAAGCAAAAGTCAGTACAATATAATGCATAAACATATGACAAACTTGATCGATTACATGCCAAAATTTCAGTAACACATAACAACATTCAGTGTATTTGAGCCAATAACTGGTCGTCCTTTTCAAGGTGGAGCGAACTCCATCAGCGCAAGCGAGGGGTAATAAAAAAAGACAAAACAAATGTGTGATGAATGGAAGTATAAACATGTTACATCCCTTATCTTCCCAACCCAATCATGCGTTAAGCCACCCAATACTGTCTCCTTTTCGCTTACAGTGACTTTCTTGAAAACAATAATCTAATTTCGTGCAGAAAATACTTCGTTTTCATGCTGCAACAAATGCAGGTTCATGCACACACGCACACACAAACACACAGACACACAAACATAAACAGGCACAAACAGACAGACACAAACACACCTACACTTGCACAAGTACACACATACTCACACGCACACACACACACACA